ACGTATATATATATATATACACACACGTATATATATGTGTATGTATGTTTTTGTGTGTGTGTGTGTGTAGTTTTCTTTAAAATTTCTGCATTTCAGATGGAGTTTTAGGAATAGAATCCTTTTTAAATTGCATTATACAGATTTCTACTGGTCTGCCGGATGTTTTGATTGGGCTTGAAGTTAAGATAATATAACCTATGATACACAATCTTAAAAAAAAATATATAATTTGTAAAACTCAATCTCAAAAAGCAAAATTTGAAAAATCTAAAATCTGTAAAAAGAATTAAAAAAAATATCAAAATTGAAACAAGAAAATAAAATTTGAAAAAATTTAATATGGAAAATGGACTGTGGTGTTGGGCTGTGGCTCTGATGATTGGGGGGTCGCAGTAGTTTAAGTGCTGATGTCAAGGGGGGAAATGTGGATTTTGGCCTGATGTATTTATGTAGGAATGTATATGGGTTGTTTACATGTATGTATGTAGATGTAGGTATGTATGTATGTTTTAGCCGATATCCAGCACCAAAATGGTGGTATCGGTGCCCTATTTGCTGGTACTTGCCGATACCACCATTTGAGAGCCAAAAGTTTATTCCACTATTTTCACCCATTCCAGGTAGGCAATAAAAGTTCTACTGGATTCTCTTTGCTTTAGTCTTTTTTCTTCTTCACAAAGGTAGACAGCAGCTTGACAAAGCCATGATGGCAAGTATTCTACATCCAAGTAGTCTGCAGTTCTTCATATATAAAAATACACATTAATTTCAAACAGATGGTATCGGTTATCATATATATATATATATGTATATGTATATATTTTTTGTCTACTTTAAGTTAATTTAAGTGCAATTAGAGGCAGAGGGAATGATAAGTTTTACTTCTTCATATCCCTTTTCAGTTAATTTGCATTAATGCGTGTCACTTCTCTGGCTGTAGATGCCGACAGGTTTATTCGGTGGAGATTTTTTTTTCTATTTTAAGGTTCAGCTGAATTTAGTTAGTTTGGAAACTGGTGCTTATTTTGGTTTATGTTAACTAGTCTTTTTTGTGTGTGTTTGGTTGATTCATTTATTGATGTTTGTCAAATTGTCTGTTTGAAATTGTCTGAAAGAAATTCCTATTCATTCATTCAAAGATAAATAGGAAAAAAAATGATAAAACATCAAAGTTAATTTTTTTGCATTTTTCTTTCAAATTTTTTTTTTTTACAAAAGGGGTTCTTGCTTACAACAATATTGGATCAAAATTCACTCCATATCCTGTCCACCCTGCTTCACTTTTTCCCCAATCTGTAGCTTTTGTCACAAGTTGTTTGAAATGAATTTTTTCAAAAAGATGTTTTTCTCACATCAGTCCACAAAGTCCACGACGAGCGACCAATACCCCAGCTCCTTTTACATTATTTTGATTATTTAAAGCAAACAAATGTAAAAAAAAAAAAACAGTTTCTTCTTACCAGAGATCGACTGATAGAGGAATTTTAAGGCCGATGCTGATACCTATTGTTGAGCTGATATTATTGGGTAGATTTTGTTTTAGGTAGATGTTGCTTTACATGATTAATGTGACACAATAATAAAAAAATTTTTACACAAGTCTCAATTTAAATAGAAAAATTAACAAATAAAAGAAAACATTTACAATAGAAATCCAACAGCAATGCAGGCGGATCATTTTCTCCTGAATTGGGGAACATATAAAAGCATCATTTGAACCATATAAAAGAATAAAACTGTAATTTAAGCCAAAACCATTATTGGCTGATGTACTGGTCTATCTCTACTTCTTCCTTAGGTAAAAACCTTAAATAAAAACCTTTACCAATGAAAACAAACAAACTTTTATTTGATTTAATCTTTTATTTTCCAGTTTAACAGACTTCACCTTGATTTCTGTGTTTGTCTTTTTTTCTAGATGGTTCTTTGGCAAAATGACACGACGTGATTCGGAACGGATGCTGCTCAGTTTAGACAACAGAAGAGGGACTTTTGTGGTGAGAGAGAGCGAGACCACCAAAGGTCAGTCTGTCAGATACTAAAGTCAGAGAAAGGATTTCTTTAGATTGTGTTATCCTCTCATAAAACTAAATCACAAAAGCACAGTTTGAAAATCACAACACTTTATGTCTGTTGTTACATAGCAGAAAGGTTCTGCTAATCAACAGCATCCATAGAACAGCCCTTTTTATTCCTTTGCACTGATTTGGATTCTTTAGAGTAACTGCTGATGAACTAAAAACAGCTGTAAAATTGATTAATTTTTTGGTTTTAGTGAACATGCAACATCATGGTCAGCTTTTTTCATTTATGCGGCAATAGCTGACTGCTTGCATACTAAGTTTTTCTGAAAGATAATTTGATTCCCGCCTCTTTTATTTGTTATTTTTGTGTTTTGCATTTTGTTTTTGCACAATTTCTGAGTAAACACCTTAGGATCATACTCCAGGGGCCTGGAGTAGCTGCATGTAAAATTTAATTGAATAAAACGAACCATTTTAAAACCGATTAACTGGAAACCTTGATGTTAGATTTAAAGATTGACTGATTGAGGGTTTTTTAGGCCGATTATTTTGAGGTCAATGTTATGGATTTTGGGCCAATTGTTGGAGCCGATATTCCTTTATGATAGCTGATATTTCCTTTCTTCTGACCTTTATATATCAAAAGTGACTGAATGATAAGGAATGTTACACAAATCTCAACTTAAACAGAAATAAACTTTCTTAACAAATCAAAGAAAACATTAACAATCAGCACCGGTCACTACAATACCAGGAAAAAAAGATAATGGACGGAATTAACTTGCTTTGGGAAACAGATTAAAAGGTTAGATTTTTTTTTTTTTACTTGATGATTTTCAAATTATGCAGCTGATAAATAAAGATGAATGTAATTTGTATCTTAAGTGGAGAATGTAGAGAAAAACCCCATTGAGCAGTTTGATTTCAGCCTGAATAAAGAGAAACAAAAGGGGGGAAAAATTGTCTGAAAGTAAACTTTGAGCCATAAAACTTTCCCCCTCCAGCTTTGCTCTCCTAAAATCATTCTTTACCCTTTAAAACCAAGTGTATCATGTTGATACATGAGTTCTTGACACCTCTGCATCATCAGTGCGATATTTCTTTAAATGAAAACCCAGACGTACACAAACAGATGCACAAAGTGAACAGAACATCAATAAACCATTATACAGAAATGTCTACTGAATTACAAATAATGAAAATAAATTACCCGATTTAACTAATGCCAAAGGCAGTTTTTTTTTCTTTTTAGAAAGTTTGATGAAAATTCTTATTAAAAAAAGAATAGAATGGAGTCATGGTGGTCAGGGATTAAAATGTTGGAGGTGATGCGTCTGTAAAGTAAGGAAGCATCTGATAGGCAGCTGGTTCATCCCTATTTGTTTGTATATGTGGGAGGATGTGTGCATATATCAGCACAGAGTGGAGCGAGGACATGTGAGGTTCAAGGTAAATCATGTGGGTTTGAAAAAAAAAATAGGGTTCAAACCATTTTTTAATCATTTTTGGTCCATGTTTTAGTCCTCAGCAGCAGTGCAGGTTTTTCAGGGAGAGAAAACAGCCTGAAATGAAGGAGGGTGAAAAAAAAAAGACAGAATTTAGGTCAGTGTGGAGCTGAAGCTAAGGACTGTACAACCACAAGCCACATCACCCAGTTCAAACACAGAGGAAGGGGGGGAAGTGGCCTTGAGCTGCTCCCTCTCTCTGTTAGGTGCTACTAGTTCTCCCTCTGGTGGTGAAACAAAAACATTACAGCTTGTAGGAAAAATAATGTTTTTGTTTTTTTTCCCTCCAAGGCGCCTACTGCCTGTCAGTGTTGGACTATGACAACACCAGAGGGCTTAACGTGAAACACTACAAGATTAGGAAGCTGGACAGCGGGGGCTTCTACATCACATCCCGCACGCCGTTCCCCAGCCTGCAGCAGCTCGTCAATCATTATCGCAGTGAGTTGATGGAGAGGCTTACGGAAGAGGATTAGGGCCACTGGAATAAAAAAAAACTTAACTGATTTTTAAATTTTATCTCAGTTTAGTATGGGAAAAAAGAATTCTGAGATTAAAGTCTGAATTCTGCCTTTTTTATTGTCGGAATTCAGACAGATTTCTGGGAAAAAAGTCAGAATTCTGAGATTAAAGTCAGAATTCTGAGATTAAAGTCTGAATTCTGAGATTAAAGTCAGAATTCTGCCTTTTTTATTGTCGTAATTCAGACAGATTTCTGGGAAAAAAGTCTGAATTCTGAGA